CGCCACCCAGGCGCCCCAAAGCATAAGAGACTCTTAAAAACTGAGAACAAACTGAGGGTTGATGGGGGGTGGGAGGGAAGGGAGGGTGGGTGATGGGTACTGAGGAGGGCACCTTTTGGGATGAGCACTAGGTGTTGTATGGAAACCAATTTGACAATAAATTTCATATATTGAAAAAAAAATAAAAATAAAAATAAAAAATAAAAAATGGGCTTAAATCCATACATAGGTTCAAAGCTTTGGGTAAAACAGCACACTGGCAGGAAACTATCAGATTAATCTGAAGGATTAACCCATAGGACTACTTAAATACAGATACACGCGAAGATAACTTCTCTCTAATGGTCTAAAGTATAACCTTATGGTTGAGCAAAATCATTTTTTAAAAAATGAAATTTACTGGCAAAAAAATACACACTCACTGAAGAAAGTTGGAGGGGCAGGACTTGGAACACACAGAATCGTTATGATGAAGAAAATAAAGATCACCCATAATTCCGCAGCCCAGAAATAACTATTGGACTTTTGGCATATGAGCATTTTTCCCTTTACACATATATATAAAAACATACACACTCTTGTGTATATACACAATGGAGATTATACTATACCCAATTTTGTATCCTGCTTTGCATTCATCATTATATCATGAGCCTTTTCTCATGTCATCATAAAACTTTTAAAAACAGCTGTGTAGGGGAGCCCGGGGTGGCTCAGTCGGTTAAGTGTCCAACTTCAGCTCAGGTCATGATCTCACAGTTTGTGGGTTCGAGCCCCGCATCAGGCTCTGTGCTGACAGCTCGGAGCCTGGAGCCTGTTTCGGATTCTGTGTCTCCCTCCCTCTCTGCCCCTCCCCCACTCGCACTCTGTCTCTGTCTCTCTCAAAAATAAATATTGAAAAAAATTTTCTTAAACAGCTGCGTAAATAAAGAATCCACTGTTCGGGGTTGCTGACTGACTCTGTCTTAATCTTAGAAAAGCCGCAAAAGCAAGTTAATCAACTGAGGTGTCAAAATAACAAGCATCGAGAGGACCTCCCAAGGCCAGAGAAGGTGGTCAAATCCTAACGTAATGGAGAAATAGCAACCCAGAGCAGAGACGTGTCGGGAGCCATGGATGGGAAAGAAGAGTTGGAAAGTACTTTTCCTCCCTACTGACCAGCGCCAGGCCAAACAACAGCAGCCAGTTTAGCGCGGAGGGGCCACGTCACAGCGGCAGTTAACAAAACGGGTGGGGGTACTGGCTAGAGAATAACTTGCAGGCTCTGAGGTAGGGAAGGACTTTTAAATACAAGGCCCCCAAAGCACAAGTCACGCATTGGAACATTAGTGTATTTAATTAACACCAAAGGCCGTGATTTCTGCACAAAGACAACTTCACTTGAAGTTAACATACAGGCGGTTGTGCTGTGAAAAGGTAAGGAGACGTTCAATTTTGCTAATAACTGGGGGAAAACGAAAATAAGTAACAATGATGTACCACTTTATTTGACTGGATTAACACAAATTAGTGTGTTGGACGCTATGAACTACTGGTATAGATACGGGAAAATGATCTTCACGCACGGCTGGTGTCCATCAGCAGGGAAACAGGAAGGGGTTTGGGAATGAAGAAAATGGAAACAAATGAGGTCTTGGAAAGACTGATTCCAGAATGTCATTTAGTGAGAAGCAGGATTTACCTAACTCTCTACTGCTAGGTCTTAAAAGAGGCAGTGAAAATTCATGGCGTTGTGAACAAACATTTATTTAACCTTTTCCGTATCACTGGATGTTTGGATTGCTACCAGTTTTTCACTACTGAAAATGCTCCAGCTAAGATCGTGGGTATATATCGTTGAATTTCATTACTTCTCCATGGTACTTCCTAGAAGTACCTTCCTAGAAATATCTTAGATAATTGCGTGAAAAGGTAGTTATGTTACTCATCCAAAGAATAGGAACATTAAGGTTCCTGATACATGACAGAGTTCCTAAAAAGAAAAACTGAACCGATTTAACAATGCCACAAGCTGCATATGAATCTCAATCCATTCCTGCCAATAAAGTACTACCCTCTTAAAAAAAAATACTGGCCATTTTCAGCAGAAGAAAGTAGTATCCCATGGTTTCAACTGGATTTTTTTTTAAGTTTATTTATTTATTTTGAGAGAGAAAGAGACAGTACAAGTTGGGGAGGGGCAGAGAAAGAGGGAAAGAGAGAGAATCCCAAGCAGGCTTTGCATGGCCAGTGCAGGGTTCAATGCAGGGCTCGAACCCATGAAGCCATGAGATCATGACCTGAGCTGAGACTGAGTCGGACGCTTAACCGACTAAGCCACTCAGTGCCCTTCAACGGGATTTGCTGTTACTGGTGAAGATGACCCCCTGCCATATTTATTAGCAACCGATCATTTCTTTTTTTTTTTTAATTTTTTTTTTCAACATTTATTTATTTTTGGGACAGAGAGAGACAGAGCATGAACGGGGGAGGGGCAGAGAGAGAGGGAGACACAGAATCGGAAACAGGCTCCAGGCTCTGAGCCATCAGCCCAGAGCCTGACGCGGGGCATTAACTCACGGACCGCGAGATCGTGACCTGGCTGAAGTCGGACGCTTAACCGACTGCGCCAACCAGGCGCCCCAGCAACCGATCATTTCTATTCAGTCAACTGTGTCCTTAGACCATTTTCTATTAGGATTTTAGCACATATTTGGATTTGTATAAACATTTATAATATTAAGGCTATTAATGCTTGGATTACATTAGGTTCAAGTATTATCTCCTAGTTTGATTTTAAATTTTGTTTGATGTTTCCTGACATATGAGTTAACTTTATTTATCTGAGTCTACCGAATAGCTTTTCCTTTGCAATTTTTCAATTATTGCTTTTGTGCCTAGAAAATCCTTCGTAATCCAGAAAAAGACAAAAGTCCATCTTTGTTTTCTTCTGGTTTCCTTTACACGTTCGTTTAAAAAATACTGTGAATATTTCTTTTAAAGTCTGTCAATATGCCCTGAAGAGGGGCGCCTGGGTAGCTCAGTCAGTTAAGCATCCGGCTCTCAGTTTTGGCTCAAGTCATGATCTCGCGGTTAGTGGGTTTGAGCCCCGTGCTGGGCTCTGTGCTGACAGCTCAGAGTCTGGAGCCTGCTTTGGATTCTGTGTCTCCCTCTCTCTCTGCTCCTCCCCTGCTTGTGCTCTGTCCCTCTCTCTCTCTCTCAAAAGTAAATATTAAAAAAAAAAAAAGCCCTGAGGAAAGAGCTGATCAGAAGAACAAGTGAGATACAGGCAGTTCAGTTACAATACTCCTAAACTAGCTACCTGCTGAAAAAATATTAATTTTCCTAGTTAGCCTATACATTTAGAATTTACATCTATTTTTCTTTTAGAATTATTCTGGTTATTGAAGCCATGCGTTTTTTGTATGAAGGACCATAAAATTCATGATATATGTCATGCTGTGTGCTTCTAGCATATGGGGATAAGTCAGTATTACCTACTTTAAACAAAAATAAGACAAAAAAAAACAGTACTGTCAGGTCTAATTAACAATCAATTCAATTTAGGGACTTGAGTTCCAACTCTGGTTTTCATCCTGCCCTCTTATTTACCAAGAACACCTGCACTCATGACGACAGGAGGCATACCAGAATGAAATGATCTTAACAAGCGTAGAGTGAAGATATTTACCCCTGTATTCCTAGAACCACCCAGATTATGAAGGACTCATACAAATTTAACAGACTCTGTCGGTCAGCTATCTAAAGTAGGTACCAAGTCAAAGCCATTAGCGTTGCTCCCTTTAGAAGGCGGCCACGAGCCCTCTCCAAGATATTTTTAAAAGGAAACAAAACAAACGTAGCCCTCCATGATGGCACGTACCTGTCCAAATGAAAGGCTGCTACCTCTGCATTGTGTCTATCATAGCCAGCATACGGCTCCCCTTCTACCACATAGTCTCGGTTATACCTGCAGAGTGAGTGGGAGGCACACATGGAGACGTGAATTACATCAGCACCAGAGGAGACAGCACAACAGAAACTTCAGCAGGCCTGATTCTGCTCTGCAGACACGTTCTCAGTCAAAGCTGAGAAGAGCTGTGGATTAGGACAAATCTCCGGTAGGTAGGGTAAAGATAAAGTAGAGAAGGAAACTGGAATTCTCTCCCTGCCTCAGCAATTATTCTATGAATAAAACACGGAAGAGGTTATTTCTACCCCTCTGAAATACTTTCAGTGTAGTTTAAGTAACACTACAAGGTCATTTTCTGGAAGGCAAGGACCATCTCTGTATCTCTAGCACAATGTTAAGCCTATAGTTGGTGCCTAATAAACGTTTACTAAAATGTTTACTAGACTGAACTGAAGAAACGAAGGGAAACGTACAACTAAAATGTCTTTTTACCGGAAGGACTATGGCAAGGCTTGTAAGAGAAGTTTAAATTTTGGGGGGAATAAAACGGTCTGGATGTGCCTCAGCTTTTGTTGAGGAGTAGGCAAAGGTGCATATGAAAAGCGCTGTTGGAACAACCATCCTCTTTTTCTTTTTAGGTTTATGATGACGTGTGGAGGGAATACTGGCCTGGCACGAGAGCTACATATACGGTTCTGTCATTACCTTCTGGGTAACCTTCAACAAAACCAGTCTCTTCTCTGGGTCTTAGATTCTTCATCTACAATGTATGAGGGGCCGGACCAGAAGGCAATTTCCAAGATATCATTCATCTCAAATTCCATTCTGATTATTTTACATCACATGCATGACATAAACCAAGGATAATAAAAGCTAGAATATTTCTTTCGACTAATCATAAAAAAAGATACCATTTAACCGTTAACTAGGAAGAAAGGGACACTAAATTCACCTATAACCTCTCCTGTTTGCATGCATTTCCTGAATCAAAAGGCCTATTTATTAGGCTTTACAGGCAACAGTAAGATAGAAATGAATGGAGACTGAAGCAGAGTGGAGCTGTTCCACCGAGGACACTTGCATCGGGGAAGTGGGAAACACTGCGATAAAAAGCAGTGAACCCGCAACAAAAATGACCTTGGAATCTAAAGGGAAACCATATCCACAAAACACATTTTCCAGGCAAAGTACGGAACATACACGTCAGAAGACAGCCGTGCGTCACCACCTGGTTGGAGGCCAGTTTCTTCTTGGCCTGGTCAAAATACTCACGTGTAGTTCTTACGTTTCTAGTGTCAAAGCATTATTCAGGCTACTTAGGATTATACGGCTACCTCCCAAATGAGTCTCCATTTTTAAATAGAACTGCAGTAAAAGCTGACACTCCTCAAGCACTTCTCTCCCCGCTATAGCCGCAGGCCGTCCGTACAGCCGGGGGACAGTCCTGGAATACTTTCTTTGCTGGGGCCCCAGCGGGGCCTCCACACGCAGGGAGGTACGTGCAGTCCACTCCTCCCAGTGAAACGTTAGAGAGCTTTCCAATACATGGAAAGGCTGCTCTAAGTGAAATGTAAAACCCTAGAGGAATCCAGAAACATCGGGGGTGGCCTGGAGAGGAAGGGAGGGAAAGAAAAGGGAAAGGAGTAAGAATCACAGAGCTGCCCGCAGAGTCAGGAGGTCTGAATCCATGGCTCACGTTTCGGCTGTTCGAAACACAGCAAGCCAGAACTCCGCGTCTCACCCGTCAAATGAGCAGTTGGACTGGGCGTTCTCCGAGGTCCCTGCCAGCACTTCCTAGGACCACTCACTCACTTCTACCCACTCCTAGGCTCCTGCCACCTTGTTGCTTTCCCACCAGAACTGCAGCCTTCGCCCGGGGAAAGCCAATTTACTTCCAGAATGGGTAGAGCTACACTGAAAAAAAAAAAAAAAATCACGTTTCTAACGTAAGGCAAAATGTGCAAATAAAAGCATCACTGTCTTCCCATAAATTGCATCCACCGCACACGTGTCCTATCTCTGACAGAAGGACATGGCCAACCAGGCTCCGGAAGTGCGGAAACCACAAGTGGCTGTTAAAGAAAGGTGCGTGTGTCGCCTTAGCAGCAGGGGCGCAGAGCCTCCTCTCAGCAGAGAGTGATCTATCTTAAGTCACTGACAGAGCAGCAAAATTCATAGAGTAACTGCCAATAAATCACTCCTATCCTTCTGGGGAAGGACATCAGAGTCTGACCAAGGACATTAATTTGCGCTTACACCAGGACTAAATAGCCTCTGAGGCCCCCAGGGTCAGAACAGCAATTTGCTAGGTATCTCGAGACCAGAGTCAATTTCTACAGGCACTTGAACGTACACCCACCTTCCGCAGCCTGTGACAGTGCCAGGTGTCACCAGCACAGGTTGGGTGCGTGCAGTGACTGAGAGCGGGATCCCCCAGGGCAGGTGGGGCCCAGGCACCTTGCAGGTGGGGGAGGAGAGTCCCCAGGGGCTGCGAGTGGACATGGGCAGTTGGCGGGCGGGGACTAGTTTGGCAGGAATAAAGAGCAGGGTGCAGAGAGGAGGGCCGGACGGCCAGGGGTTGACCATTAGGCTGCTGAGGCTGCGCTTTGCCCGGTGAACAATGGGACGTTCCTGAATGCTTTCAAGCTGGGAACACCATGCCAATATGGGCGTCTGAAGGAGGAATGACAGCGGCCTTCAGGAAGGTGAGGGGAAGGCTGCAGTGGCGGTAGAGACAGGGGATGAAGCACAGTGACTAGGTGAGTTGGTGCGGTTATCGCCTGCCACCTCCCCCAGTCACCAGCGGGCGGCCCCTCCCTCCACTTCTACCTTGACCGAGCACCGCGGGCCTTCCTGCACAGCGCCTGGACCAACGCTAACAGCGCCACTACCAGAAATACCTGCCTCCTCCCACTTCCTGCTGGCGCATCATACCCCCAATTCCCCAGTGTGGGAACGGAGGGCTGGGTACAGAGGGGACATCCTCTTATTTAGACGTGAAATGCTCACAACTCACCTCTGTACACCAATTTCATTTGTTTTTAGTCTGCCTTTTTTCCATTACTCTGCTCACACTGCTGATCACCCAGGCCACAAACCAAGAGGTCGAGGACTACATTTCAAAACTAAACTAGTGATTTCTGCTGACGGGTGCTCAGGAAGGCAGGCAAACAGAAGAGAATCACACGTGCGTGGCAGAACACCAGCCACTCTTACTCAGATCCAAACGCCAGTTACTGCGAGGTGACCTTGTCAAGTCAGTTACTCTCTCTCAGCCTCAGTTTCTTATGCTAGAAGTACGAAGTGTAGGGACATTTGGGTGGCTCAGTCGGTTGGGCATCCAACCCTTGGTTGCAGTTCAGGTTTATGATCTCATGGTTCGTGGGTTCGAGCTCTACGTTGGGCACTGTACTGACAGCATGGAGCCTGCTTGGGATCCTCTCTGTCTCTTCCTCTCTGCCACACCCCTGCTCGCACTCTCTCTCTCAAAATAAATAAACTTAAGTGTAACTGCCCACAGTCATGGTAAAAGCTAAAAGCATTGACAGATACAAAAGTACTTAGTGTAGAGCCTGGAGAATGGTGTGCATTCAATGGAAATCATGTCGCAGGGCCCACGGAACCATACTTTTTCCATATCACCTGCCAATCAGACTTTTCTATTCTCCAAAGGCATGCCGTATGTTTCCTTTCCTAATTTCCGCATCTTCCATACATCACACTTCCCAGTTCCAGGCAAATACAGATTTCTTCCATTTCTGGGATCCCAATGTATTTGTTCTCTGGCTGTATGTTATCTATTGATGGTTGGGTCATGAAGACAGCTAGGCTAACTACTCTTATCACAGTTGAATTTTGTACATCTTTACCCCACATTTCTCCCACCGGAAAGAGACCCAAAGGTATCGGTTATAATTCTCTCAAAAGCCCTATTAAGGAATGAGAAAAATGTTTAGTACATAGGAAATTTTAGACATTATAAACTTTGAGAAAATTCACTGGTAACTAACTCCTGGCAAAAGAATATGAATCACCATCATGTTAACCTATTTTGAATTCATATACTCACAGGAAACTTTTAAAAATATTAATTATACTATAGAATTGCCAAACAAATGATCTCTGTAGAGCCTTGGAGAAGTCTCCGAGGGATCATCATCTAACGACATATAATTCAGCCCACTTTTTCAGATTTTGGACTGAAGTAACTAGAAGGGCCCAGTTCTCTCCTTAAAACAGGTAAACACACACACACACACACACACACAACCTGAAACCCAAAACAATGAGGCATCACTACACACATATCAGAACGGCCAAAACCCCCAACAGTGACAGCACCAAATGCTGGTGAGGCACCTAATGCCACTCATTCACTGCTGGAGGGAATATAAATAGCACAGCTACTTAGGAAGGCAGTTTGGCAGTTTCTTGCAAAATTAAACATCCTCTTACCATATGATCCAGCAAACGTGCTCCTTGGTAGTTACCCAAATGAGCTGAAAACTTACTTCTACACAAAACCTGCACATGAACGTTTGTAGCAGCTTTATCCATAATTGCCAAAATGTGGAAGCAACTAAGATGTCCTCCAGTAGGTAAATGGAGAAACAAACTGTGGTACAACCGGACGATGGAATATTACTCAGTAATAAAAAGAAATGAGCTATCGAACCACAAAAAGACATGGAGGAAACTGAAATGCATTTTGCTAAGTGAGAGAATTCACCCTGAAAGGCTACAAAGGTAGCATTCCAATTATATGGCATTCTGGAAAAGGTAAAACTATGGAGACAGTAAAAAGATCAGTGGTTGCTAGGAGTCTGCGGGAGGAAGGGGAGGATGAACATGTGGAGCACGGGATTTTTAGGATGGGAAAGCCATTCTGTGTGATAATGTAATGGTGGATACTTGTCATTAGAGGTTTATCAAAATCCACAGAATGTACCACACAGAGCCTGAACCTTACTGCGAACAGTGAACTTTAGCTAATAAATTCCTACTGGCTCATCAACTGCAATAAATGTACTACACTAGTGGAAGACGTTAATTATAGGGAAACTGAGGTGGGGGGCGGGGGGACAAACTCTCTGAACTTACACCCTCGACTTTTCTGTAAACCTAAAACTGCTCCAAAAAATAAAGTTTATTAATTAAAATGAAATCAAAACAAAACCCATGTGAAAGAATCACAGCTTCAGTCCTTAGACTTTAGTCACCTGTCCAAACCCACTCAAGCTGTGGGTAACTCCTACTCCACCACACCCCTGATGTGTGCTTGGTTATCCGGCCTCTAACTGCACACTTCTGGTGACAAGTCGCTTATTTCCCAACCAATTCATTTTGTATCTCTAACATTTGGCACACAGAACATATTTGATAAATTTAGAAATCAAGGAGAGCTCTAAGTGTAAAACGTTCAGTCTTATACAGAGCCAAAATATGTTCCTACAAATCTGTCCCAGAGAATCACAGAACACTAAGAGCTGGAAAATACTTCAGAGGTCTTGTAGTCTATTCAGCTCATGTTGTTGGAGAGAAGACTAAGAGAAGGTGATGAGCAGTCTTCTATAAACTTCGAGTTACTTGAATCAACCAACTAGCACAATATAACTAACTCCTGAGAAGAAGACTTACCGCTTAGGTTTGAAGACGACTTTCTGTCCTCCTTCAAGTATCAGTAAGGCTTTCAGTTGTGTCCCTTTATAACCCACATCAGCTTTAATGATCTTCTTGGTGGCCATGGCATGCATGATCGCCCCCAGCTCTGGTGTCTCTTCTGGGTACACTTCCCGTGGAACCACCCACTGGGCTGCAATCTCCCAGGGAGACTGCAAGGTGTGGTCCAGCTTGGGCACCAGCTCTACCCGCAAGCCAGCCATCATTCTGTGAAAAGCCCTCTGGTCCTCTCGGTTTGCTGCTGATGTGTCTAAGTTGTCAATCAGGAAAACTTTGGTGAAGATAAAGATGACAAGAAGAATTGCTAACAGCACGACTCGCTGCTTTAGCTTCATGTTGACCTCTTTGCCTTCTCCCCGACCCACTCTCTCTCTCTCACTTCTCAAGGAGAGCAGGTTAGCAAGGAGATTCCATGATTACGCACACTGGTCCATTTCTTCACAGGAGCGCCTCCCACAATTCCTGTAAGCCCAAGTATAAAGCAAAATTAAGTCAGAAATTCTGTCCTTCCAGCCCTGAGTGGTTTGCAAGCCTCAAATATATAACTCACCCTTTTATCCTTGCTATTCCTAAAGCCTGAGAAGACCCAGTAATTTCAAATCGACTGGTCTGGGGAAGGACCTCACAAGTAAACACCAGGTACAATGAAAATTTTAAAGCAAATACTCCTGTCTTAAGAGGGTGCAGACCCATCTAGGAGCCATTTGAATGGCTACAAATGCCAAAACACCAAAACAATGGGAAAGAGCACAACAAAAGTAAAACACTAAGATATGTGTAACTCCTTAACTTTCATTTTTACCTTTCAAAATCCATAAAGGATTTCTGAACATCCAAAACCACCAGTATTTGGTAACTTTCCAGTTCTCATCTTTTCTAAATGTAAGTTTTATGACATGTTGTAAATCAGGAACTCCTAAAAATGCCAAAGAGGATACAGAGGAGAGCAGTAACTCCTCCAAATCCAAACCCCCAGCAAGCCTGGATGTGTCATTATCTGTTGCTCACGTAGTTAAACACAACGCCCAGGCACGCATCTCTGCTTGATCAGTCTCCCACTAATTATTTTTCAAAATTAAAATCCCTGTAAAAGAAGGATAATGAAATCTGGACAAATTAAGTAAAGGAAAAACATATCCCTATGCCATCTGGCTATTAGTAGAACATGACCAGAAAACTAATGAAACGTGGTACTATGGCAACATTATGAAGTCTGGACCGGTCGGGCATGTAACAAAGAGATGGGCGCCACAGATATGGACAAGCACTGCTTCCGGCATGGGGCTGACCACACTCCGGTCAATCCCCAGCAAACAGATCCCACACACAAGATTTCTGCAAGAACATACAGTGCGGTCTCATTTGCATGCGGACAGGTTGCTTTCCACTCCACGGGGCCATTTAAAAACACGCGCAAGCCTGCCAGCTGGACGCCTACTGACAGCACAGCGCTGGCTAAGACAAATGTGACAAGAAGATAGCAGGGTGTGGCTTCACCCTCCAATTCATCTAACAACTCAAACCATCAATCGAAAAAATCACGCCAATACAAAAGGGCGAATGTCGGGCTGAGACCCTCCCGCCGAAACTGGAGACTGCTCTTCTAGGAACAGCTGGAAACCCCTCCAAACACAGTTGACCAGGGCAACGGCGTGTTCTGAGGGCATCACCTTGCGGTGAGCCTGCCGCCAGGCAGTTCATGCTTGGTGATTAACCTCCCCTTTGCGGTTCGTTTGGTGACGAAGAGGAAAGGGAGAGTCAAATTCAAATTCTAATTCACTCCAGCCACCTGTTTTGTTTCAGCATCCTTCTCCCAGGGAGCACGTAACACTGTCAGCTGAGGCAAAGGCAATTCAAGTGCATCCAAAATGTAACTGTGATGGTACGGAGTTTGGTGTGAAACTCAGTAAGATGGTTCTCTGTGATTACGGTGAAGAGCGAGCGCTAGCCCGAGAGCAGATTCCAGAGACCGCTGGTTCCAGCACAACCCACGCACCACACAACTCCTTCCGTGATTCTCCGCTCCTCCAGTGATCTGTTCAACGGCACCCGTCTCGGCTGCAGTGACAAAAGGGAACGTGGAAATCTGGCTGTGTCAGCGTCCGCTTCCTCAGTACCTCCAGCCGCAACCACCCACGGGCCTGGCACCACTGGCACGAGGGGCAGGCGCAGAGGGGCAAGTGGGGCGGCTGTCCGCCAGGACTGACTCTGGTTAACCCCCAAACTTCCAGGGCCGCTGCTCATTTCATTTGGGCTAAGTTCTTCCCTCGTGCTGTATAAACCTATCATATCTAAACATTCGGCATAAAGGCCACGGATATTGAGGTGTGTTTGTTTTTAATCACTAAAGCAACAGGAAGTTCCAGCAGCTCCAAAATTCAGACCAAACGGTCCTGTTCCACAGTCTTTGTGCGCTTTTAAAATGGGAAATCTCGTTACCTTCTGAATAGGCCTCAGAAGCACCCGTTCAGCAATTCGGGGCCGCAAACAATTCACCCACTCAACTATGAGAGGGGTTTACGTGAAGTGAACGAAGGAAGAGTTCAACTGCTATTTCACCATTTACCTCTGCAGATTGGGAGTGAGCACGGGGTGCAAGAGGCCAAACAAGTTTCCGTGTTTGTGATCAATCGCCAGCCACATCCTGGCAGAGCAGGAAAGACAGGTGCCCTTCGTTCCCACAGCCACCAACGTAACCTAGTGCTTATCCCCTTCTGCTGAAACACGGAAAGAACTGCGTTCCAGGCCTCCAGGTTCTCCAGCGCAGACCAGATGATGCGCCACAGTCGCCCGCCTCATCACACACTGCTTCTGATTTCCCCACGTTCCTTAGCCAGGCATCAGAGCCGCCCTCTGCATGGGCTTCCGCGGTCTGCTCTGCCAGGCAGCACCGTTCCTCAGTTTCAACTCAGACGACCATGACCAGGCTCTGTCCTCCCTGCCACGTGTGGGACTGACCTCTGCCCTGTCATTCCTCACACAGGGACTCCCTCAAAAGACCTCTTGCTCTTACCCTTTGTCCCCATTTTCTCCTGTTTAAAGCCTAATCTATCTTTCAAGGGCCATCTCCGAGGCCATTTCCGGCCCCTCTTCACACCCTACAGAAACCTTTGTCCATTAGAGCACGCCTTCACCACACTCTGCCTCATCCAGTATCTTCTGCTACGTAGTTCTCAACTGCCCTCTCCGAAACTTGGCTCCTTGGTGATCTTACCTGTCTTTGCGATCCCTACGGTACCTCGCATAGTAAGGTGGATGCTTTATTCACCTACACTGAACAAACCACTACAAAGATCTTGGGACTGTGGTGTTAATCTCCTTTGACGTTCAGAATCACATGAGTGTGCGGCACTTAATGCTGGCTCTCCTTTATCTGCTTATCCTCTTTGGGCAATCTACTTCTCTAACGACAGGACACTCTGCTCGGTTTAGCTGGTAGTTTCAGGGTATTGTTTCTTTTTCTGAAGAAACATGGACAGTTCAGAAAGAGGTTTTCTTTAGCTGGAAAGTTGCCGTTCCTTCAGCGCACAGGGTAAGCCAAAGATATTTAAGAAATCGACAATGTAGAGATCATAGTGGAATTTCTACAAAAAAGTCTCTCCTATTCCAGAAAAATGTATGAGATGCAGCATAAGGTATCATACCATCCTTTAGTGATGGCATACTTCTTACTCTTTACGATGCTCCCCTCTACGCCTGCATGCTTGAGAGGGTAGGATACCCAAGACAGGGTTTCTGTGCCGTGTTATCTTCTTCTCTTGCTGGAAACAACGGCACACTTACCATACTCTCCGCAAACTGGGTTTCTAAGAAGATACCCCATTTCGAAGGAAATTAAACCAAACTCACTGGCTACATTCCAAATTATTCATGAAAACTTCACTTGCATTCCCAGAGGAGTCTGCCTGCTCTATTTTATGCCTTCACCTCCTCTCAGAAATGCTTCCAACAGTGTAACACTGTCCAGTTTATATTATGGTCATTTATTTTAATGGTTCTGTTATGTGGAACAGAGCCTACCTCACAGAACAAACAGACTCAAGGCAATAACCTAACTCAAAAAACGTTAAATGTAAAAAAGGCAATGTAAATGGTCGTCTTCACACTAAAAGCTGGCATAAGCTCTTAAATTGGAGTTCTGGAAGGTAGACCTTTATAAGAAATTTTCCTCCTGAACCCTGGTTTCATCTGCAGCTCCATCAGCTAAATGAGGCTTGCTATGGAGGCTCATTTACTTTCATTCTCTCTCTCTCTCTCTCTCTCTCTCTCACACACACTCTCTCTCTCACACACACACACACACACCACACACACACACACACCATCCTACATATGTGACAAGTGTTTCATAAGGACAAACTCAGGACTATTAAGTTGCTTGGGGGAGAAGAGACACAGATTCTGCAGCAAATGCAGAAAAAAAGGGAGGTCTTAGTATGAAGTCTTCCACTCAAGAATCTAGCTGATGTCTGGAGGGACATATGCAGAAAAACATGGCGGTGCACAGGTCTAACTCATGGTGTGATAACATTCAATTTATGCAGCTGCTGAGGAACCTGTGAACACCCGGCCCCTCACTTCCTACTTTAGGAGGAACTCCCACAAGCCACCAGTGACGTTCCAAGTCTCACTGGCATCTGTGCACCCTAGAATCTCCCTCGGATCAACTGACATCCTTACACTATTTCTCCTCAAGTCATGGAGAAGAAATCCCAACCTTTGTGCAGAGTAACTAAAAGTGAAAGTTTCAGTAAGAACTTTTTCTTATCTTTTCAATTCAATGGTCAAATAACATTCTTTCCACATAAATGGAATGTAACATGCCTGTGAGTATAAAGTGCTCACAATGTTCAGTATGAACATTTCATGCAGAAGGCTATTAACAAAGGAGATTTCAGGCAAAGTAGGAAGAATTTATTATATACCTTATAATCATATGTACTCACATAACCTCCCACCCTTGATCCTGAGTAGGACTTACAGGGACCATTTTACGAACTTCTTTAGTAACTGCGGGTTTCAGCAAAGCTCTGAAGGTCTGGTGGGGATAAGAAGAGGTAAGACCTGAATCTACTTAGGAGTTTTTGGTTGATTATCTACAAAGACAGACACCAACAATTCCTCCCATCACGAAGTAGAATCTATTTTTTCTCCTCCCGGAACCTGGGCTGGCTCTGTAACTTGCTTTGGCCAACAGAATGCAATGGAATGACTGTGTGCCAGGTCTGGGCCCAGCCCTTAAAAGACCTGGCAGCTTCCGATTGGGACCCAGCCACCATGCAAAGAAGCTTGGGCTAGACTACTGAATGAGAAGGGACTGAGATGGAGAGGGGCC